TTATATAACGTTTCCTTTCCACGGTTATTCAAACGGCGAATAAATTATATATAGAAAGTGACATTATCACTAACATCGCCAGTTGAAGCACTCTCAGAAAAACAAAACTATCGTTATAATCACTGAAGCTGTACACAGTTAAATTAATCTGATTGCTTCTGCTTCTGATTGGCCATTGCATTCCTAAGCTCAACAGATATGTGTGTGATTGGTTAAAATGCGCAACACTATAAAACCGCCTTAAATGAAATACGGTGCAACATGAGCAGTTCTTAATTTAATGCCGCAATCGACACTGTCTATTCATATTCACTTTGTTAGCAACAGACGTAATAGATTTAATTTGTTTGTGCAGGGGCATTTTTGTCCAATTTAGTGGCATTTTTGCCCCAAGTCCTCGTGGCCACTTACACACGCTCCACCTATGGTGATATCTATTCACCTAATTTCACCCACTTCTGAAGGGTGACTGATTTTAACAAACAGTCAGTGAAGTCAAGTTCAAGTTCACATATGTCTAGACCGTCTCGTTCCATACCGTCGCTCTTTCTTCGCATACGGGGGGTCTGTTTGCCCTCTGACCCGTGTGTAAGTTGCTATGGAAGGGCGGCGAGAGGATTTAGTAATGTTCCCGTGAAAAGGCCGTGCTGTCAGGGCTGTCTAGTGACGTCCCCCCTTCCCCGCCTCTCTCCGCAGCTGGGCACGGTCCCGGAGCCTGGGAATCTTCGGGCTCAGACCTGGTCAACCCCCCATTGAGACTCAGTCTAGCCATACCCTCACCCCACCATCTGCAAGCCGCCGGTCTCAAGTTCAAATCTAATGCACATATGATGCACAATACGGAGGTGCAAAGGTTTGGTTGTAATTGCAGTAATGCATGTGCGTTTTTATGCACTGTTCAGTAAATAATAATGGAGCTCTGCCAAGACCGCCGTCTTGTAATTGGTTGGCGATGCTGAAGGTGTGTGTTTGGAGTCGGAAAGAGATTTACAGTGTGTAAGAATGTGTGTGTGTGTGTGTGTGTGGTTGTCGGGCAGCAGGAGGGTATAATAAATGGAGTCATTTGCATAAGCTGCATGGAGCCCGAAGAGGGTGGTTCGGAGGAAAACGACAAGAATGAAAAAAAGGACAAATCCTACGTTGTGCGGGCAGAAAGAGAAGGCGAGGGAAATGAACAGAGAAAGACTTGAAGCTGCTCCCCTGTGGTAATGAAAAGCATCAGGAACCTCAATGCATAATATTTGAACACTGTGACAGAGCGCTTACACTGTTTACAAAGGCCTATTGAGGAAGAGGGAAAGAGATTGATTACGGATCATTTATTTTGCTTTTGATGAGCGTGGAACATGTGAAAATATTAAAATTGTATCATCTGCGGCCTCTGTACGTCTCTGTGTGAAGCTGTATTGTGATTTGTGTTTTGAGCGGCAGGTACAACAGCACGTTTTATTCTGATCGTTTGCCCACATAATGTCTGTGCAATTAAAAAATCACTGTTTAAGGAAGCAGGTCTTTTAGAATGTAAGGTAATGCACCTCTGGTAAGCACTGATCTGTTTCTCTTTTGCAGATGTGCACTGAACTCGGTGGATTCACACTTTGTTGAAAATTAGTCGGAAATCGACTAATTATGCATCTAGAGAGAACAATGGGAGCCTCACGCACCTGAAGAGTTTAAGAGGCGCATAAAATCATGATGATGATGATGATGATGACGATGTGTGTGTGTGTGTGTATGAGAGCAAGAAAAGAATTGTACTGTATTATACAGTATTTTCATTAAGATCATGTACACCATCATTTTAATGCATTTCTTTACAGTTAGCCTACTTAAAGATATTCACATCTTTCTAAATCTGTATTTACAAAAAAAATGTTTAGAAATGTATTTTCTGTTGCCCTGATAACAGTTAAAATTTAAAAATATGTGCATTTATATACATATATTTTTATATTTTTACAGGTAGCCTAGCCTATGTGTTTCCTGTGTTTTTTTTTATAATTAGTTTTCTGATTTTTATTGTCATTTAATTTGATTTATAAATAAAATATTTCTACTGTATATTGTATTGTATGGATGAATAAAAATCTGATTCAAAAATGAATGATATGAATCAGCTTTGTATTTGCATTTTATTGACGTCAGATTGTGTCACACCCGGCAAACAGTTAATTACTGTGAGTTAATTAGCTTAATTTGTAGGCTATAAATCACTTGTATATTGTTGAGAACTATACGGGCAGCGAGAGTTATGAAAAGGTCTGTGGTTTAGTTACTAGGTTTTGAGTAAAATATTTGAATAAGAAGCCTTAAAATATAATAAATTCATCACGATAAATTTATCACGATTTATCACGATAAATTTATCACGATTCATGTCTAATCCAAAAATTTAAATAATTAGGTTACGTTAGGCTACATCTTTAATTAATAGAAAAACACACCCTGCAAAAATGTTGATGTAATTTTGCGTGAAAACGCCGCTGTTATAATTTACTATAAACTGAAATTGTTGTAATTAGACAGCTGTGTTTTATTATTATTTTTTTTTTAATCATAAAACCAAATTTCACACCCACATATACAGTGTGTATAATTTTCCACTCATTCAGGCTATATCAGTTTCTCTTATTGCTCCTGCATTTATGCAAATGACTGAGAATTTCTCTATCAGTGACCGATAAATTAATCACGATTTATCACGATAAATTTATCACGATTCATGTCTAATCCAAAAATTTAAATAATTAGGTTACGTTAGGCTACACCTTTAATTAATAGAAAAACACACCCTGCAAAAATGTTGATGTAATTTTGCGTGAAAACGCCGCTGTTATAATTTACTATAAACTGAAATTGTTGTAATTAGACAGCTGTGTTTTATTATTATTTTTTTTTAAATCATAAAACCAAATTTCACACCCACATATACAGTGTGTATAATTTTCCACTCATTCAGGCTATATCAGTTTCTCTTATTCCTCCTGCATTTATGCAAATGACTGAGAATTTCTCTATCAGTGACCTCTGCGCCAGTTAGCATTAAGTGTTAATTAGCCACTGAATAGAGGCTAATAATATGACGACCAGAAGCTACCACAACTGTTGATTTTCTTTCATTTGGCAGGGTTTCTGTCTCTTCACGGGGATATATGTATATTGCACTTTAGCATACCAATAGAGCAGGAGCCTGTGAACCCCCCTGACCCTTTGACCCCCCCCCCCAAACATGAATAGCATCACTCAAGGCCTGGACAGGCTTTTCAGCCGGCCTGAGTCGCGCCTAAGCTCCTAAACATGATGATTTAATGTATCCTCAGCCCCCCGGGTAGCTTTTGCAGGGACTAACAGAAGTTTGTTTCAGACACAAACCCCCTCTAAAGACATGCCTCCCCATCTAATGCTTCCTCTCAGTTACACACAGGCAAACGTCCCTCCCCTCCTGTTCTTCAGGCTCCACACTTGGCAAAATGAAGGGTCTGATCTAACAAGGGCTCTTTCATCTGCTGAGAAAAGCAGTATCTGTTCAACTGGCTTCTATGACTGCTGGCAAAGAAAAGAAAGAACATTTGCTTGTTCGGAACTGAACCCGTAATAATCTACACATTAAATCACTGGAGAAGATATAAGACAGTATGTTAACGACGTATGTTAAAGAGATTTGTTAATTATCAACAAATATAAAGAGATGCTTTACTGTATTGTCCTGAGTTGACTATATGTATTGCCGTTTTTACCCCATATCATTAGAACGAACAAAAACGCATGTTTATACATAATTTAAATATGTAAGGACTCTTTACAAAAATCAGCTTTAATGCTCTTCTGTGAGGTTGACATCTCTGGATTATCTGAATTGTTGCTTTGCTCCAATGAATATTACAAATACATATGTTAATGTGTTTATTGTTAAAAACAAATAAATCAATCTTACATTTAAGAACAATGCGATTTCGTTTTAAATTTCAGTTTAGGTTTATAAACAACAATAGGTTCAGCTTCTGTTGTTTGAGGCTAAAACACATCATTGATTCAGTTGCTATATTATATTATAAAAATGTTAAGTTACAAATAATTAAAAAAACAAGCGTCGTTTATTTTCTATGGCGATAGCGCCCTCATGTGACAATATTAAGAAGACGTGTTGGAAACTTGAATTCGACAAAAGTTCATCGACAAACATTTTCAGAGCGCCTTGGTAAGGTAATTTAGTAAGAATATGTTCGTATAGTGTCATTTTGTTTCTCTTTTTAGTGAGAGCATTACATTTAAGTAAATAATATGCTATAGCAAAGTCCTGAAGTAACATTAGACCTGTAATAGCAATATGATGGATTGGTAATATAAGGCTGTTTTTGAGCAGTAAAATGTTATTTGTAAGTTGTGAGTGTATCCTACGTCTTTTAACCATATAACTATGAAAATGTTACACAAATGGAAAATCTCGACCCCGGCAGGACTCGAACCTGCAATCTTCTGATCCGAAGTCAGACGCCTTATCCATTAGGCCACGAGGCCACCATTAGTAAAGGTTGGAAATGTGCTCTCTTATGTTGACTACTGACTACAAAACTACTTGTTTTGCGTAGACGCGCGACTATCAAAGACATTATGTTTTATCTGGAAATAAAGGAAAGTCCTCTGGCGACAACAGAGAATGTAGAGAAGCGAAATTGTAATTCCTACACTGGCCAGCTATTTGTATCTCATGAATATTAAGTAAGTTAATGATGACGTTGCACCACTCACGTTAGCTACTTAATATTCAGCCAAGCTAGATCTGAACATAGCGAGGATAAGCGGAGGTATTCGCGGATTTTTATTACTTTATTTGAACTATTTATCAAATATTTTCAATTCAGTAACTATCTAAAATTATTTAGGTGCAAAATATTCTACGCCACTGATGAAAATGTCACATAGACGGCTTTATCACGCGGTACCAAAACACTGGGTGTCGCTGTGAGGCAAGTTGCGCTTCGTAGAAACAGGATTTCTTCGGATTGAGCTGTAGTAGTATGCGCGTGTAGTGTGTCCGAATGTGTCTGTTTTTGGTCAATTGTTGTAATTAAGAATAAAATGTTGCCTGTACTATAACGAAATTGATTTGCAAGTGCACTAGCATGGACAGCAAGGCAGCGTCATATTTATACAGCGGTGTTTAATCAGGTATTTTTCATTGTTTTTGTCAGTTCATAATACTGTGTGACAGATATGAGCTGATGAATTCTCAGACGAAATAATATAAGAAATATGCTTGATCAAAATATTTAAAAAACTTGTTCTCATATGTATGTCTTCACTAAATAAAAGCGAACTTTTCATTGTAGCCCTATGTGCTTTTAGCTCTGGAAACACATATATGAAACATTTTATATACAATAAAATTTCAGTCATAAATATTTAAAATACATTTAAATACATAACATTGGAATGCGATTGAGTATTGTAAAAAATAACATCTTGAAGGAAGTACATTGCCAGTCTTGACATGGTTAGATGTGGTCTTTGAGATGCATCTCTAACTTTTATGTTTATTTTTCATTTACCAGGTTCTTCTAAGTATGTGAGTATGCTTCATCCAAGGCTCTAATACGATGCTCCGTCTGATATCATGTCACCGGTGGCAGACCTTCATACGAACTGGAGTTTGGGTAAGATGGTGCTCCACCTCTGTGAAACCCAAATCCCAGCAGGGCTCAGATCGGACCCGCCTGAACCCCCTCAACATCCAGATGCTCTCCAGGAACCTGCAGGAGCAGATATTTCGGGGTCAGACGCAGGAGTACACAGGTGAGGATGTTGAACGCAGTATAAGACACTTGAAGCAGCATAAACTCTGGGGGAAAGAAACAGCCCTGTTACCTGACGTAGAACTCAAGTTACCTCAAATGTACGGCAATGACATCGACGAACACTTCAGTTTACTTGCCCAAAAGCAGAGCCTTCCTTACCTAGATGCGGCCAGTCAGCTTCAGAGAGCAAGACTTCCCAGGATGCCCAAGGAATGGGCTTGGGAAGTGGGCTGGACTCGGTATGGGCCGGGCGGAGAGCGCCAAAGTGTGAATTTCCCAGGTGAGAAAGCTATCGTGTTTGATGTGGAAGTCTGCATGGAGGAAGGACACTGTCCTACGTTGGCCGTGGCGGTTTCCCCAAATGCCTGGTGAGGTTTACTGATCGTAACCGGTATATATTCACCAGGGTTTTTACCAGTGATTCTAAACAAACTTTTTTTATTTGGTGTTGCAGGTACTCGTGGTGCAGTAAGAGGCTCATAGAGGACAGATACACCTGGTCTAGTGATCTGATGCTGTCTGATCTCATCCCTCTGGAGACCCCAGCAAACTCCACCCAACCGCGGGGCGGTGTATGGCAGGAGAGGCTTGTGGTTGGACACAACGTGAGCTTTGATCGGGCGCACATTAAAGAACAGTACTTATTGAAAGTGAGATTCATTTTAGACTATTTTGAGACTGATTTCAAATGCAGGTGCATCTCAATAAATTAGAATGTCGTGGAAAAGTTAATTTATTTCAGTAATTCAACTCAAATTGTGAAACTCGTGTCTCACTAAAAATGTTTTTTTTCTTATGAAGTATTCTAATTTGTTGAGATAGTGAATTGGTGGGTTTTTGTTAAATGTGAGCCAAAATCATCACAATTAAAAGAACCAAAGACTTAAACACTTCACTCTGTGAGCATCGAATTGATTTAATACACAAGTTTCACAATTTGAGTTGAATTACTGAAATAAATGAACTTTTCCATGACATTCTAATTTATTGAGATGCACCTGTATATCTTTACTTGCTTTTTTGTTGATTCTAAGGGTGTAACAGTATGAAAATTCAATATTATTTGGTCTTAAAACAGTGAAATCTAAAATGCTAATCATTTTAAAAGCTAAAAGCAAATGTTGGTGTCAGAACATTATATTTTACAGCAGGCTTTCCCAAACTGGGGATTATGAAGGAACTGCAAGAGGTTCATGAGTTGAAAAGCTAATAATTAATTTAATCAGATGAATAATTTAAAAATAAAAACTGTCAAAATAAAACACTTGAAATATTTAATTTGGTTACCTGCATGTTATATGACCATTAACCAGCATCAGAAAACTGTAAACATGTCAGTGGGTTATTCAATTATTGAAATATTGCCTTAATATCTCAGCGAGATACTTTACAGAAAATATTTTCTGTAAAAGGACTGACAAAAAGGTTTGGGAAACCCTGCAGTGCTATTAACGTAAACTTTAAATGTTGTCTTGATAAGTGACTAAATTAAGATAAGTCTGAAAGTCTGAACATCTAAAACTGAAATAAAATTAAGTGAAAATATTGAAATTATTTTTTTGTTAATTAAAATAAAGCTAAAATAAAATCTTAAACTTAGAAATGTTGTCTTGAAAATGAACTGAAATAAAATAAGTTAAAGTACTGAAATAACTACTTTAATTTATTAAATAGAAGTATAAATAAAAAGCTAAATAGAAGTATTTAAAAAATAAAAACTAATGATAAAAGCACATAACAAAACTACTAAAAATTAAACTAAAATGAAATCAAAACTGAAAATATAAAAATAAACGCTAATTTAAAATAGTAATAAATAATATTAAATAAATAAAGGGATTTGCTGAAGATTACTTTTAATAGTGTTATTAAAATATTAGTGTGTTTAAAGACTAACTTTAAGTGAACATGCACAAATAAATATCCAGTATTAACTGATAATAAACAATTGCAATTAAATAGAAATCTCTAATACTGGCCAAAAAACTATATGATACCTAATATATCATGCATGTGCTTTTGGGTTGGTCTGTGCAGAGCTCCAAAATGCGTTTCCTGGACACAATGAGTCTCCACATGGCAATCTCAGGTCTGACGGGATTCCAGCGCTCACTCTGGATGGCCAGCAAGTACGGCAAGAGAAAAGGGCTACAGGAAGTGAAGGAGCACATGAAGCGCATCGGCCGAAGATCTGAGGGCCCGATGGTTCGTACAAACCTCGCAACATTTGTCAGCTCAGCCTTAATAGTTCACAGTATGACCAACCGGTAACAAATTGTATGTATTTTCTCCTGCAGATTGGCTCATGGGAATGGGTTGATATTAGCAGTATTAATAACCTTGCTGATGTTCATGCTCTCTACGTGGGAGGAGAACCGTTGAGGAAAGAACAAAGGGATCTGTTCGTGAAAGGCAGCATGGCGGACATTAGGACAAATTTTCAGGTAAACATGTAAAAGAAAGAGTTCACGCAAAAAAATGAAAAAAATTTCCTGAAAATGTTCTCACCCTCAGGCCATCCAAGATGTAGATGAGTTTTTTTTTCTCTCATCTGAACAGATTTGGAGAAATGTAGCATTACATCCCTTCACAAGACGTTAATTGATGAACTGGAGTGGTGTGGATTATTGTGATGTTTTTATCAGCTGTTTGGACTCTCATTCTGATGGCACCCATTCACTGCAGTGATGTAATGCTACATTTCTCCAAATCTGTTCTGATGAAGAAACATCTACATCTTGAATAGCAAATGTTCATTTTTAATTCAACTGTTCCTTTAAATGTCTCTATGCTGCATGAACACCTTATACCTTTTTATAAATTAATGCAAGTACAAATGGAAAAAGGAAGTGTGTTTTAGTGTTTTCTGAAGTTATTTTGTTTTCTCTGATAGGAGCTGATGCAGTATTGTGCTCTTGATGTTTTGGCCACACATGAGGTCTTCATTCAACAGTTGCCTCTCTTTATGGAGCGGTATGACACTTCATATACATAAACCCACCACCAGCTCTACATTATGGCATATTATTGTTAAGTGACCTGTTGTCTGCATTTTTCTAGGTGTCCTCACCCAGTGACACTTGCAGGTATGCTAGAAATGGGTGTATGCTACCTTCCTGTCAATCAGAACTGGAAGCGGTACTTGGAAGATGCCCAGACCACTTATGAAGAGCTGCAGAGAGAGATGAAGAAATCACTGATGATTCTGGCTGACGATGCCTGCCAGTTATTGGAGGATGAGCGGTAAGCATGCACTAGCTTGTTTCTTTCATAATAACCAAATGGAGTCCCTGAAGGAAATGTATTCACTTTTAAGAAACATACAGTTACTTTTTACTGGCCTGGTGTAAAATATGTTCTGCTTATAGTTTTAGTGTTCAGCAGCAATCCAATATTTTGTTATTATTGGTATGGTCTGCTGTGCAGGTACAAAGATGATCCCTGGCTGTGGGACTTGGATTGGGATGTTCAGGACTTCAAGCTAAAGAAAATACCTGTAAGCAAGAAGAAAGCCAAACAAGAGGCTGAGGCAACAGCAGCAGCAAAAGAAAATGTACCCGAAGACTGGAACGAGGGTAGGTGTTTTTTTTTTTAAATGGTTAGTTCACCCAAAAATGAAAATTAGCTTGTGTTTTACTTACCCTCGAAGCATCCTAGATGTATATGACTTTCTTCTTGCAGACGAATCCAGTCAGAGTTATATTAAAAATAGTCTTTGATCTTTCAAGCTGTTTAATGGCACTCAGCGGGTGTTGCAGTTGAACAGTCCACAAGTCGTCAAATAAAGCTCGCGCATTCATAATAAAACGTGCCGCAGACGGCTCCGGGGGATGAATAAAGGCCCCCTGTAGCGAATCCATGAGTTTTTGTAAGAAAAATATCCATATTTCAAACGTAATAAACACTTTTCTCTCACTTCCGCTGACTGTCATCCACTGAAGCAGTTCCGGCGGATGACGTAAGACGCGCGGCGTTGCGTGATTAGTGACGAATGCGGCGAGTGAAGAAAACGAAACGCCGGTCACGAGATTAGAAGTACAAACCGAAGATTTGCAAAGAAAAATGTAGGAGGATTTCGATATAAACCGAGAGGAGACTGGTTTTGCTTTGCTAAAGTAAGGAAACTTTGCTTCCTTTGCTCCGATTAAACAAACTCGCGAGACTAGCATATCTCAGAGGTGCGCGCGCTGCGCATATGTCATACGCCTTCCGCCGGAACAGATCCGCATATGATAGATAACGGAAGTGAGCGAAAATTGTTTATTACATTTGAAATATGGATATTTTTCTTACAAAAACTCATGGATTTGCTACAGGGAGCCTTTAGTCATCCCCCCGAGCTGTCTGCGGCACGTTTTATTATGAATGCGCGAGCTTTATTTGACGACTTGTGGACTGTTCAACTGCAGCACCCGCTGAGTGCCATTAAACGGCTTGAAAGATCAAAGACCATTTTTAATATAACTCTGACTGGATTCGTCTGAAAGAAGAAAGTCATATACACCTAGGATGCCTCGAGGGTAAGTAAAACACAAGCTAATTGTCATTTTTGGGTGAACTAACCCTTTAATTCAGTAGGGTGGTTCATGGTTGATCAGTATTTTTATTTCTTGTTTGAAACAGTTCAGACAGTTAACGTTCCTTAAGTACACTACTGTTTGGATTTTTAAATATTAAAAAAAAAAGTCTCACCAAGGGTGCATTTATTTGATCAAAAATAGAGCAAAACAGTAATATTATTACAGTTTAAAATAAGTTTATATTCTAATATAATTCAAAATGTAAATTATTCCTGTGATGGCAAAGCTGAATTATCAGCAGGCATTATTTTAGTCTTTAGTGTCACATGATCCTTCAGAAATCATTCTAATATATTGTTTTGGTGCTCAAGAAACATTATTATCTTCTTATCAATATTGAAAATTATTAATATGATTGAATAAAATACATTAAATACATTAAAATAATGTATATGATTAGAAGTGTTGATGAAAAGTTGAATCAAGTATATTTTAACATTTAATATAAATAAATATATTTGATCACATTTTACACCTTTTATAGCTTTGTCTTTACTGTGAACTGTATTGTATATGAATAATAAAAAAAAGGATTCCTAAAGGTTTTTGAAAACCTGGAAATATCTGGTAATTTAAAAAATAAATACTGTAATAAAATGTTTTTTACAAGATTGTTAATATAATTATTATTATTAAAATATTATGTAAAATATTTAAAGAAAATTACACTCACTTTTAGTTATTTTAAAGGATAACATTATTGACTCTGTGTTTCAGACCCAGGTCCTCCTTCAGAAGAAGAGCAGGCTGGTCTACACCCCAGTAGCGAGCTTTTACAGAGACTAAAAGAGACAGTCAGCTACCTGCCAAAGAGGAGACAGCACTTACCAGCCCACCCCAGGTAAGTGCCGCCCCCTATTATCCCATTTGAATAAAACAGCACATTGCATGAGCGCACATTTTGTACGTTGTTTATGCTCAGCTGGTATCGTAAGCTGTGTGTGAAAATGTCTGAGGCCGAGGACTGGTCTCCTGGAGCCAGTCTTATCAGTCTGCAGATGAGGGTCACGCCCAAGCTGATGGGCCTCACATGGGACGGCTTTCCCCTGCACTACACCGACCAGCACGGCTGGGGTTACCTGGTACCAGGCCGCAGAGAAAACCTGGACACCTCAGAGAACCGTGAAGGACCTGTATGTCCATACAGGTAAAATAAAGCAAAGATAATACTGTGTTCTTTAGGAAAAAAATACAGTGGCTTGACTGCATCTTTCCTAAAACTTGGCTTCCAGGGCAATTGAGAGCATCTATAAGGAGTATTGTGAGCGCAAGGGAAAGGAACAGCCCCGGTATCTGGACAGCCCACCTTCTGATGACTTCATGTTGACGGACAGTGCTGTGTGGCAGACGGTTAGAGCTTTGCATGTTACTAAATAGGGTTTTTAGGGCTGGTATTTTCCTTCAAAGTGGTCATTTTCATCCATGTCTGCATGTTTTTGTGCATGTGTGTAGGTTGAAGAAGTGAGTCGACTGGAAGTGTTTGATGATGAAGTGCAGAGTACAGCAGGCCCATCCAAGAGGATCAAGGTTAGGTTGGGATTTTGTGTCATTTTTTATGTTGTTTATATATATATATATATATATATAAATTTTTTTTCTGTTGTTTAATGTTTGTTTGTTTATTTATTTATTATAAAAATATTATTGAATGTTATATTTTTAAATACAATTAACATTATGTGCTATATTAAGTATTAAATCACAATTAAATAGTGTAAAAATGTATTGTTATTAAATGGATATATTAAATAGTAGTACATTTATTTAATTCATTTACATTTTTAAAAATATAAAAAGTTATTTAAAAATATATTTAGTAATTAAATAGTATTCAATTTTGATTACTTTAAAAAAAATTAAATGTTATTATTTAATGCTTTGCAAGCACATATTTTAGTAATAATAGCTATATTTACTCATTAGAAAAAACTAAATTCATTCGTTGAAAATGGAAACGGCGAGTGTCCCTATCACAATGGAAATGGACCATACAATGATGTCAACATCCCTGGATGCTGGTTCTTCAAACTGCCTCATAAGGTATTCGATTTTTGTCCTCATTTTACAATGCATTCATTCAAGTTATAGTCATATATGACTCGAATAGTTTCAAATCACAGGACGGAAATGACAACAATGTGGGTAGCCCCTTCTCTAAAGACTTCCTGTCGAAAATGGAGGATGGTACACTTCAGGCAGGACGACAAGGCACCAACGCCACACGAGCGCTTGAGATCAACAAGATGATGTCATTCTGGAGAAATGCTCAAAAACGCATCAGGTTTGAGAGTCTCTTTTAAATATGCTAGTCTTTTGAATGTGTAGATGGTGCTTACAGCTGATCCAAAATCTCTTCTTTTGTCTGTCTTTGCAGCTCCCAAAAGGTGGTATGGCTCCGTAGGGCAGAACTGCCGCTCTCTGTCAGACGGTTTGTTAATGGCGTCCTCTATTGTGTCTTTTTCATTTGAGTGAAAACATCAGAAGTCATCTGACCTTCTCTTTGCTCCTTCATCAGACATGATGACTTTGATGAGGAAGGACAATATGGTGCCATTTTACCACAGGTCATCACAGCTGGAACCGTCACTCGCAGAGCTGTAGAACCGACGTGGCTGACTGCAAGTAATGCTCGGGTACGACAGCTACAGAGTGCAGTGCCTTCCAGAAAACACTGTGAATGGCAGTTCATAATTGAGTTAATTCATTACTGCCATTAAGTAATCATATATATATATATATATATATATGTGTGTATAAATATTGTATATTTTATTATATACTATTTATTAGATTATTATATAGTTGTATAGTTTATCGTTATTACTGATTTAGCTCTATATCATTCATGCCTATGGAAGCACATATCCGCCACATAAGAAAAAAGTTATGATATGGTAAATCATCTAGAAATGATGAGGTACTATGTTATAATTATGAGACAAAATAACAAAATTATGACTTGTTGAAATTGACAGTTGAGGTGATTTTTTTTTGTCACAAGTTATATGACCTGACTATCTCGTAATTTCAACTTTTTATCATAATTATGATGTATTATCTCATAATTTCAACTTTTTTTACATAATTATGACATAGTAGTTCATCATTTCTAATGTTTATGTCAAACTTTCAACCATTATCACAAAATATTTTATGCCATAATTATGATGTAGTATCTTATTTTCTGCTTTTTGTCAAAATTATCACGTAGTAGTATCCCAATTTCTACTTTGTGTCATATTTGTGACATAGTATCTCATAATTTGTCATGACTTTTTATGTCAGTTATGATGTAGCATCTCATAATTTCTACTTTGTCAAAATTTCAACGTTTGTCGTAATTGACCCTATGCAAAGACCTTATGACTTAAGTTGAAATTATGACAGTTGAGGTGATTTTTTTTGTCACAAGTTATATGACCTGACTATCCCGCCCCCCTTAGTTACTGTTGCCATGCGACAAGCCATGCTGCTCTCACGCCACACATCATGTTCTCATGCTGTGTAAAATACATCGTGGAGCAAAGAGGATGCTGACAATACGCCGACAGACAAGACCGAGCAGGTTACTTTAGATATGAAACAAAGTCTCAGCTTTCAAATTTTGTAATTTCTTTATTAAATTCAAACAATAAATAAATGCCATTTTGTGGCTCTTTAATGTGTTGTAACAGATCACTGTAGCGCCTCAGTTCAAGCGGCACATGAAGCGATTTTCTCTTCCTCTTTACTAGTTATAGCACAAAATAAACATGAATGAACATCAGAAGGTATCTTGTTTCAACCGCAGAAAGCCGTCAATACACACCATTTTTCAAGTTCAAGTCCACCAACGTTAATCTACTCTCCTGACTGATTTGTTTGTTGGACAAAAATAGCAGATTCAGCGCAATGATCGGTCAGATCGCCTGTCAATCAAACTCCCTGCGAAGGGTCAATTATAACTTTTTACATCAAAAATGATTTACCAAAGCCTGATTTTTTTCTTTTTCTTGTGTGGCAGAATTGGGCTGCCATAATTGTGGAATGAAAGTGGAATTTAATGTCTGAGAGGGTTTGTGTGTGCTTGCAGAAAGATCGTGTAGGCAGTGAGCTGAAGGCCATGGTGCAGGTGCCTCCTGGGTATCACCTGGTGGGAGCAGATGTGGACTCTCAAGAGCTGTGGATCGCTGCCATACTGGGCGAAGCACAGTTTGCAGGAATGCATGGTATTCCAGATGCACTTTCCCAGCCATTAGATTCCAAGATGCAAATTCCTAAAAAAAAAAAAATTGACTTCCATTTAGTAGACACTTCTATCCAACGCGACTTACAAATGAGGATGCCAAATCATGTTTCTTATGAGGAGCAAGCTACACCCTTTGGTCATTCATAATTTCTGATTTCCAGGATGCACAGCGTTTGGATGGATGACGCTCCAGGGAAAGAAAAGTCAGGGCACGGATTTGCACAGCCGTACCGCAGATACTGTGGGCATTAGCCGTGAACATGCCAAGGTCTTCAACTATGGCCGGATTTATGGAGCCGGCCAGCCGTTTGCTGAGCGACTGCTAATGCAGTTCAATCACAGACTAAGCCAACAGGAAGCAGCTAGTAAAGCTCGCCAGATGTACGCACTTACCAAAGGACTGCGTAGGTAGGCAAAAAAAAAAAGAAAGAGCTGAGGATGACAGCATATCACTCCAGGATTTGCGTAAAATCTCCAAACTGGCAGCTCAAAGGTCTGCTGACTACTGTAACAAGCTGTTTTAAGCTAGTCTGTGTTGGACAAATCTGCATGTCAAACTTGTGTTTAATGCTTGAAGCACCACCAGAGGGAGCAAGAGGAAGTGGAATCTCGCAGGGCAGCGTGTGTGGGCAGGCGGTACAGAATCAGAGATGTTCAATAAGCTGGAAAGTATCGCCCACTCTGAGGAACCAGCCACTCCAGTGCTTGGCTGCAGGATTTCCAGAGCTCTGGAACCTTCTGCTGTTCAGGATGAGGTGAGACAACACTATAGTTTGAAATAACTTGTATTGTAATTCATTATTTCAACAATCTTCTTGTAGCATTTATACCTCTGCAGCCGATGTTTGTAACTGCATGAAATGACTTGCTGTACTGTTTGAGCTACAGGAAGGCTAGTTGAGCTAAACGGACTTAATGAGACTTTGGTTATGCTTTAGTTCATTACCAGCAGAGTAAACTGGGTGGTTCAGAGTTCAGCGGTGGACTATCTTCATCTAATGCTGGTGGCCATGCGGTGGCTGTTTGAGGAACACAACATTGACGGGCGCTTCTGCATCAGTATTCACGATGAGGTGCGTTATCTGGTGACGAGTGAAGATTGTTACAGAGCTGCACTGGCCCTGCAGATCACCAACCTGCTCACCAGGTGAAGGCCAAACTTTGATTCCTGTTATTTTTGGCATTACCCTGTGAAGTCCATGCTTGAATATTTTTGTCTGTACTCAGGTGCATGTTCGCCTATAAACTAGGAATGATGGACTTGCCACAGTCAGTGGCTTTCTTCAGTGCGGTGGACATCGATAAGTGCTTACGGAAGGAGGTGACTATGGACTGCGTGACTCCATCCAACCCCACAGGAGTGGAGCGGAGATACGGGTTAAGACAAGGTCAGACTAAGCCTCAATTGTCACATTAAAGGAATAGTTTACCTAAAAATGAAAATTAGCTGAAAATGTACTCACCCTCTGGCTATTCAAGATGTAGATGATTTTGTTTCTTAATCAGATTTGGAGAAATGTACAGGAATCAACAAGTAATCCACACGACTCCAGTCCATCAATTAATGTCTTGTGAAGTGGAAAGCTGTATTTATTTAAGAAACAAATCCATCATCAATACGTTTTTAAAATTTTTTTTTAATCAAACCATTCCTTCTGGCTAAAATACGAGTCCTCGTTCCATACGTTGCTTTCTCCAGTGAAAACATTGTGTCATCTGAATCAGGAGAGAAATTTGCACCGTTTACAATTGAGAATAGTCCAAAACAGTTCATTGGATTTTGATGTGAGGGGACAACACAGGATAGACTTTTTCACTGGAGGAAGTGTTATCATGGATTATGGACTCCTATTTTGGCCAGAAGTGACAGACAGTTTAAAGTTAAAATGCCTTCATGGATTTGTTTCTTACACACAGCTTTTCGCTTCACAAGCATTGATTACTTGTGGATTATTGTGATGTTTTTATCAGCTGTTCGGACTCTCATTCTGACGGCACCCATTCACTGTAGAGGATCCATTGGTGAGCAAGTGATGGAATGCTACATTTCTCCAAATCTGAAAGAAACGCCTACATCTTGAATGACCTGAGAGTAAATGTTAAGATAATTTTAATTCTTGGTTGAATTATTCCTTTAAGGTTGGAATACACTGTGACTTTTGCCCAGATTTACAGTTAGGAGAAACAGTAATTGCTTCAAGTCAGAACCAATCTGCAAATTTTGGGCATTCATGCAAATTCAGTCTGTTCAGATTTTTAAAAAGGTCAAGTAGTCTATTCCTGCCTTTACTATCTTGTTTTAAACTCTTTTTCTATAATACACAAAGGGAGGAATCCAAAATAAATCTTCGTTTTTATATAACATTATACAAAACCTTTTTTTTTAAATTCCACTGAAATGTTATACAAGTTTGGAATGACATGAGAGTGAGCAAATAATGACAAATTTATTTTGGGGTAAATGGTGTCTTAAAAAAAATTCACCAGATCATATGTGGACATTTGTTTATTAAGATTATAGCAGCATTTTGTGAACATGAACTCATTAACACTTTATAAATTCAAATAAAATGAAAGACTATAATGTATTAATTAAACCAGGGTTAGAAATGGATTCTCAGTCTGTTCAGATTTTTAAAAAGGTCAAGTAGTCTATTCCTGCCTTTACTATCTTGTTTTAAACTCTTTTTCTATAATACACAAAGGGAGGAATCCAAAATAAATCTTCACGTTTTTATATAACATTATACAAAACCTTTTTTTTTTAATTCCACTGAAATGTTATACAAGTTTGGAATGACATGAGAGTGAGCAAATAATGACAAATTTATTTTGGGGTAAATGGTGTCTTAAAAAAAATTCACCAGATCATATGTGGACATTTGTTTATTAAGATTATAGCAGCATTTTGTGAACATGAACTCATTAACACTTTATAAATTCAAATAAAATGAAAGACTATAATGTATTAATTAAACCAGGGTTAGAAATGGATTCTTTATATATTGTTGATGTGCCACTGGAAAGCAACTTGATCCTGTTTTTATATATCAACAGGTGAGGCGTTGGACATTTATCAGATTATAGAGATCACCAAAGGCTCGTTGGCCAAAGGAAAACAGCAAGCTACAAGGATATAATATTTGTGGCATGAAAAGAATGAACACAGGTGATGCAGTCTCTCTCAGCACATAAATGGCCACCCCTAGTGCGAACTCAGTGTTGAAATGAATGAACAGGGTTGTAAAAAGTGCAAAAGAATGACTAGAAGCTCTTTTTTCACTGCTTCCTCCTCTTTTTCTTTGGTGCTTGATTTTTCTCGGAAACCTGAGAACCTTCAGTCTAAAGAAAGAAATAAAGACACCATTGAAGATGAAGAGCCCAAACCCACAGCACTGTCCGAGTATGAACATGTTTAAACAAAGACACACCTGTTGGCTTTGATCCTGCTGCTGTTCCTGCAGCGCGGCTTCCAATGTGGCAGCATTGATTCTGAAGTCTCTGGAAGTGCTCAGTTTCATGTACTGCATCAGATTGACCTGTTTAAAAAACGTTTAGAGATGTGCCTTCAATTTTTTTCGGTAACACGTTGTTGTATATGCTGTGCATATAGGCAAAAACCTAAGAGACTTGGATCCTCCAAGAAATACCTTGGATTTCTTGGAGAGAAGAATGAGAAACTTCTCATACTGTTCAATGTTGAAAATGAGATTTGGGATGGCTTTAGTCTCACGGAGGACTTTAGCCTAGAAAAGAAATCACATCAGATGCACAAAACATTTTCAAGACTTGCACTCCAAAGCCTAAATTGTTACCAAATATTTTCATTTAAAAAAATTAAAAATCCAAAACATTTATTCAAAATGCATTTTTTAGTCTCAGGGAATGAATCTTAATAGTTCCTACTGAAGCAGCTGCTACCGCCTCATCTTCTTTCTTCTTCTTCTTCAATTTTTCCGGGCCTCCTGCTGTCAGCTCTCCACTCTGTACAAATGAACATGATTTAATAATGTGTCAAGGACAGTGTGGTGAAGGTAAAAAAAAAAGATCATTTTCAGGTACACACCTGTACATACGTGATGAAACAGTAACACTGAGGAGTGAGATGAGACCCTGACAGCTTCACACTTAATTTTTGATAAGTAATACGCATTGCTAAGGACTTCATTTGTACAACTTTAAAGGCGATTTTCTCAATATTTCGATTTTTTTGCACCCTCAGATTTCAGATTTTCAAATAGTTGTATCTCAACTAGGGTTGGACGATGTCAACAGCGAAACATCGTGATGGACGATGACATCGGGGGGCGGGGCGGGGTTTGGGGTGTGCCCGAAGTGTGAAACAAATAACTCGTTCTATGGAGCCACTAAAAGGTTAACCGCTTCCTAGCGGTAGCCTGTTGCATTACAGTACATGAAAGTTAACTTACCACATATACAGAGAAAGGAGAAATGTCTGATAGGACGATGGCGAATGATTTGCAGATCTTGAGCACCAATGACAAACATCTAATCTTGTCAAATGTGTGATCAATCGAAAGCGGTTTCAATAGCGGCTCCCTGATGCCTGCAATTTATATACAGTCGCCTATACTTACCCAATGATATAATTGCTAGAAAAAGTATTCAATTTTCAATCAGTACTTTCAATTTTCAAAATAGGCTCATTTTGCTGCTTTGAGAAGATCAGAGGTCACAGTACCTGATCGATGTCTCCCAGCTGGCTGTGTATGTCCTGGCACATCTCCCAGAGCAGAGACACTGGGCTTTTATACAGGACATGCAGGTTGAACAGCAGTGACAGCAAGCCCTTAGTGAGAGAGATGTCCTCTAAAAGAGAGAATATCTTCATAAGAAACCAGTGAAAGTAGGGTTGGGATTAGGGCTGCCCTCTAATAGTCAACTAATCGTTAGTCGACCAGAAGAAGCTTGTAATAAAATTTTATTAGTCGCAGAAAAAATAAATAAAAAAATCCACAGGCGAAGTCGCGCATTCCGTGACGGACAGATCGTTAACAGCTGGTCTAGGGTAATACAGTACATTGGGCAGGACATCCAAACGCTCGCCTATCATTCATCGACCTCAAATATGTAATCGAAATATGTAAGTATTAGCAACTTAACATGGCCTCTCAATCTAATGTTAACCTAGAGAAATGTACACTATAGTGTCTGCGGAGTTTGGAAGCTAGTAGCGTGCTCACTGCAGGACAGATGGAGGTGCCGGTGCGTCACTTGCTCTTAATCGTCCGTAATTTTTGGTCATACAGATCAGAGTAATACATCTTTAAAATCTGTAAAGACTCTACGTTTATTTGTGTGCATTCACAATAACAACAAAACGTGCTTTTGTAAAATTATGAAAGCAAACATGATGCGCTTTCGGCCGTCTCGGTCTCTGTGAACTTGAGCGAGACAATCCGTGAATATCTTTGCCTTACAGACATTAAAAATATATCTATAGAGTGAAATGTCTACTTTCAAATGAACCAATTCAAATGGAAAACAAATAGCCTATTCTCAGATCAATCCGTAAGAAACATGCATACAAGCGCGTCCACTACTGTGGAGATGACAAGTCCGTGTCGCTGAGTTCATCTCTTAATCCGAAAACAAAGAAAGCACTAGTTTATCAAATTATTAATTTAATAATAATTTATGCATTTAGCAGATGCTTTTATCCAAAGTGACTTACAGTGCAGTCAGGCTATAAATTTTTTACCAGTATGTGTGTTCCCAGGGAATCGAACACACCTTTTGCGCTGCTAACGCAATGCTCTACCACTAAGCCACAGGAACACATAACATTATTAAAATGTTAATGCAGTCTTACTGTTTTTCCCTGACAAACTCATAATCATTACTTCTGTGGTGCGCTGTGGCAAGCTTTATGCATGTACTTGAGCGCATATTAGGCTATGTAGGCAATTAAAAGCTCATTATAATGATTTAAATGGTTTATTAATAAACGTGCGGTTAGTCAACTAATGCTTCAAATGAACGACTACTAGTTGACCAGAAAAATCCTTTTAGTCGAGGGCAGCCCTAGTTGGGATATAAAATTATGCAGCATTGTGAATATTTGATCATATTTCCTAAAGACTACACTATTGCCACAATGCTGCATTTCAATGGTTTGAAAGCCTCTCAGCAGCCTCAAATAAAGGTTTCATCTTTGTATCTGGACATGAATCACTTACCGAAGTTGGTTTCCTTACAAATTTTCACAGTCCAGGTGATCATTTGCACAAACTGCACACAAAAAAAACAACAAATGCCACATTGAGATTCCTGACAGCTAATACTGAAAAAGTATGGGTGTTTTGAAGAACTACCTGCTGAGAGGAAGGATTGAGATGCCGTGAGAGTACGCTGAGGATGCTGACCAATAACTGAGCTTCTTTACTGTTGAACTCCTCCTCTCCCCCACTGAGCTGGTTCATCAGCGCTCGCTGTACAGAAAAGAAAATGTATAATATTTGCCAGTGTGTTTTGGACAGATGGACTGATAGAAAATGAAGCTGGTACCTGAAACTGGCGGATGTAGAAAGCGGTTTGCTCTGTCAGATCAGACCCTTCACCCTCTGCCTCTCCTTCCCCGGAAACATCTTTAAGACCGTTTTTTTTGTGTGAAATTAAAACGCCATAAACATACATAAGTATTATGTAGAAGTGACAGGAGTATTAAGAGGCCCACCGAGAGATGACAGGAAGTTGCTCATGCGTGTCGGGTATCGCTGTAGCACAGTGGTGAAGACTCGCAGTAGACCCTCCAGACATAGTAAGGACACACTCTGACCTTTCTCCTTCTTCCCAGCATCCTCCACGGTCGACGGCACGTTAGTGTAGCGCCACATTAGCACACTGCATGCAGGGAAAGGCATGCATGAGGTTAATAATTGCAGCTTCGTTCAGGCACTGAACCCGTGTGCAATGAAATACACTGCTCAGTAACATAAGCCTTGACCTGGTGATGTCACAGAGGTGGCGGAAGGTTTTATCAGGGCTCTGTCCCTCCGGCCCGTCTGTGTGTCCCGTCTCCTCCAGCTGCTGTATCTTCTGCAGAGCCACACTTACAGAGTAGCGCAGGAAGTCTCCGCTTGAACGCAACACAGACAGGCTCTCCTCACGGCTCTGAGTGCTGTCTCTAAAAAAATTAAGAAATTCATAATTTTTCATAGTGATAATAATACAATTTGGATTGATAATTTATTGAACATTTTATTTTTATTTTTAATATATTTTAAAATGTAATTTATTCATGTGACGGCAAAACAAAATTTTCAGCAGCCATTACTCCAGTCTTTCATGTCACATGATCCTTCAGAGATCATTCTAACACGCTGATTTGCTGCTCAGTTATTAATAATGGTGTTGTTATTAATGATATTTGTGGAAACCGTGACACATTTCTCAAGATTCTTTAATAAATAGAAATTTAAATGAACAGCATTTATTTGAAGCAGAAATCTTTTGTAACATTATAAATCTCTTTACTATCACTTTTGATACATTTAATAATTTCCTACTGAAAAAAAATTATTAAATTTTTTCCCTAGACATTTTTTGCTACAATAGAAAACAGATATTTCAAATATATTTCACAATTAAAGTTTTCACTGTATTTTTTGATCAAATAAATTCAGCCATGGTTAGCATAAGACTTCTTTCAAAAACATTAAGAAAATCAACAAACCCTGACTTTTAAATGGTAGTGTATATGTTCATGTAGTCACACGCTCAAACTGTACCTGAAAAGAGCAGTGAGCAGTGTGGAGATGAAGCCTAGAGACAGCAGGCTGCGAGAGGTTTTGCTGGACATGGGGCGTCCTTTCCCTGCCCGTTCCTTTAGGATCTCAGACACCTTATGATAGCGCTTGAACAGCTCCAGTATGTCCTCAAAATGGTTCTTACTGCTCAGCATGTGCAACACAGAATATGTTAAACACATCATTTAAGATGTAAAAGTAATCAGAAACAACACTTTCACAAACACACACTTGTAATTGGCAGTGATGAAGTTGTACTCCATGAGAACCTCATTCAGTCCCATCACCAGCACAGCATAGATACTGTTCTTCACGCCAACACTGGAACTTGTTGAAAATTCTGCACACTTATCCTAAGACACATTAAATGAGACATGAAAAATGTAGTATTGTTAGTCACAGCATCCCCCTTTTGACCAAATGTACAATACAGTTCAAGGGCCAGATTTACTAAATGGCAAATTAGCGTAATTCCATAAAAGTGCCGATGGGAAGGGAAAATTCTGCATGTGATTTACTGACAATGCACACATTAAAGAACACAACGCAGCCAGATCATTTTCATAATGACCAGCGCAATCTACCAAGAGCAGCGCAAATTACCGACCTGCTTTAAGACATGCTTTTTCTGGGCGTTAAATAATGGCGCAAATACCAGTAATTTGACAAGCGCAAACATTAGTAAATTGTGTTGCGTGATTCATTTTAATACTCTCCTCCCATAAATTTTGCGTCTGAAAGGGAAACTCCTGGAAAAGCATATTCAATAAGGTCAAGTGCAAAAATAACTGTGTCCACACCTTTTCAGGGCTAATTCTTCACTGTGCGTCTTTAGTAAATCCTGACAGTACTTTTTTAACGCCAAAAGAGGTTAGTAAATTAGATTAGTAAACCTGGCCCCAAGAATTTTAAACCGGTTTTCTGAAATTTTTATTCCAAGAAAAACCAGCAAAGGTGGGAATTACAACGCACCAACTCAAAATCCTCCAGTTCGCTTTTAATCATGCGCTTCGTTATGCTTTTCAATATAGCGTGCAGTTCACTTTGGACTCCACCCTCCTCATCTTCGTCGTCATCATCATCGCTCACATTGCCACCTGACTGTATGTTCTGATTCCACAGCAGGCAGTGAACCGTGCAGCACAACAAGTGAGCCTGGAGAAACCAACATTAGCTGAAAATTCTTATGTGATCAAGTGCATCATATCAATGTGATTGAGGCATCGCATCAGTACCAGAGGCTCCTGGATGAAGACCTGATCTCCATGTGCGCTGATACACGACTCCAGCTTCAGAGGTGGAAGCAGATCTTGCTCTGGTTCAAAGTATCGCTTTAACTGGTAAACACAAATCATGAATGGATCAGTACTGTCAGTTAGTCAGAGCAGGAAGGCATAAGAGCTCAATTTAGGATGATATACACGCACTTGTGACAGGAGGGTCTGCATGATGGAACTCGCCAGCTGAGAGTTACGACGAAGGACATCATGGAAACCCTTTCAAATCAAATGCATCACATTCTCAGTACAGTGCAGATGGATCACTGAAACAGCTGTATTGTTTCACTCCTGTAGGGGAAGTGAGAGGGTCAGACCTCATAAAGCATGAGCCGCACATCAGCCTGCTGGTTAAGGCAGCGGCGTAGACTGCTCAGGATCTCCAGACAGAAGGCTTCATTAGCGGCAGTGTTATAGCGCGAGTGGACGTCCGCCTGGACCTGGACGAGTCAGAATCATAATTACAATAACACAAGAGTATGTAATGAAAACTGCATTGCACATATGTCTGCAGATGTTTATTGTTCACCTGGCTGGATGTAATGGCCTGACTGGCCTGGCTGGAAGCTAAACTCCCCAGAATACGAAAGTTCTTCAGTAGCAACAGGAAGCCTGCCACTGCTGACTTCCTGCCATCTAAATTACTTCAGAGAAAGGATAAGATTTATTGGGACTTAGTCGTCACTTGACACAGAGGAAAATACATTCGGATGCGTGGACCGTTTCTTGCTATACCTAGAGAACATGGCCTTCCGGAGGACCAGGATGAGGGCATCCTTCATAGACATGCTCACTTTGAGCAGAGGCTGAGCAGAGGAAATGTTAAACATATCACACACTTGATCATGTGACAGCAGCTCATACTTAATATCATGTGGGTTGAGATGTTACCTGCACAGCTTTGAGGAGACCCTGAACAGTGCTGAGGGGCAAGTAGGAGAGCTGATCAAATGTTTCTGTGACCTTAGAGGAAGATTCCAAGAGGATCATGGGAGCAGACATCACAATGCTGGAAAGAAGGTCTGTGGAAGCGATGTAGTTTAGAAGATCAGATCAAAATACAGAAATGAATGAAACTTCTATGAATAAGCTTGAATAAATATCAGCAAAAAGACGACTTCTGACCAATGAAATGGGTGACAGGTGAGGCCGTTTTAGTCACCAGTCGGTTCAAGACTTGTTCTAGAATCTCCCCTCTGATTGGTTCATGCATCTGTAAAAAAACGAAAACACAAAGAGTTGGCTTCTTGTCACATATTTGAAATATCTGGAGCATGCTTTAAGTAATACAACTGGAAGAACATCGGTTGACCACTATACTACACCATGAAGCTCTCAAGGAGAACTTGTCCACCAAGTCGACATGCTAGCTGGTTTGGCGTTTTAGCCGTACTTGATGTTCCTTCTGTGACCTTCCCAAATGCCCCGGCTTTAGGCCCAAATGAATCCATAAGTATAAACCCCAGTTGCACCAGACCTTGAGTGACATGATCCCAGCCAAACACGCTGCAAATAAACATTGAACAAATTGAACAAATCTACACAATAAATTAAGGAACCCAAAATCACTGCAGTTTAACCAGACCTGTTTTTGACGGTGTCTAAAATCATGTTGGAGATGCTGTTACACTGAGGCAGCAGTTCCTGCAGAAACTTAGAGCTGTGCTGAATCTGATCATCCTTGAAGTTCTTAGTGATGGTGCCCTTCAGGAACTCAAATACCTGAGCATTATGGGTAATTTTAAGAGTGGCACAAAGGTTTGAGATGGTAAAACCACTGTTTTTAGGCAATCACGGGCACATTTGAAAGAATTTGAAACACTCAATGTTTAAATGCACACATGATACGTAAAAATGCTGTCCTGATAGACAGTTTACTAGGTTTTAAAAGGAATAATGAAACAGAGACATACCTGCTCTTCGTACCGTTGTATGCGAGCCACAGAGAGCAGCAGAGCAATACTGAAGGGACACAACGGATCACTGTGGGCCATCTACAAAAGAAGACCAACAGCTAGCACACAGATACTCAAAGAAAAAGTTATGTGAAACAGACAGACATTCACCTTAAGATTTTTTAAAAATTCCCTGCTGAGCTCATGGTCAAGACGAATGGCAAAGACAATGTGGAGGATGACGGTTCCTTCTACGTGACGCAGCTGATCCTGTGGTATGGTCTGCACCTCCACATCTTCACTCCTAATACAGACACATATATAAAAATGATCTAGGTCTCTTTATTTTACATGCCAAGTCAAATGAAAAACGAATCGAGCAAGTGTCCTACTCACTCTCCATTCCTCTGCTCCTCTTTCTGAAGTTGGTCTTGCTTCTTGAAGTAACTGATGATTCCCTCTAGAACCAACTTCTTACAGCCCTGTTGATTAAAAAAAAACAAGAATCTGACCATATAAACACACTGTGTACTTTTAAAACTTATGAGCTATAAACCGACCTTGGCTGACAGCAGCAGCAGCTGATAGATCAGAGGTGGAATCTCCTGAAGATCCAACTTGAGGAACATCCGTAGAATCTTCTCAATCAAAAACTGAAGCTCCTCAGCAGATAACGGAACATCCCTAACACAAAATATACAGTTTTCTTCGTGTTCAAGACAAAAGTGGATAACTAGCCAGTAAATATGTCATACCTGAACATGGTTGTAAGGTGTATTACACACTGTGGATCCCATCTGCATGAATTGGAGATATGTTAGTTCAATGCAGAAGACTGACTACCTTTTGTGTTCTGAACTGGTATTACTTGGACAGCAATGTCACATTTCTTGATTTTTGTCTTTATGGATTACTAATTGAAAACCAATATTAAAGCACTTAAAATTGAGATTTTACCTGCTAGAGCAAAGACTGTTGATCAGCTGTTTCTTGTATTCATCTCCACTTAGCTCACCTGAAGTAAAAAAGTAAACTTGTATGTATGCTACTATTTAATACAATTAAATAAAAATCAATAAGAAACCAAGCAAACAAACCAGTCTTCAATCAGAAATCATTCTGATATGCTGATTTGGAAAATTCAAGTCAAAAAGGCTTTAAAAAAAGTTACAAGTTTTTTATCTCTACGCCAGAAGTCTTTAACCCAGATTTACTTAGTTAACATTACTTTTTGAAAATATAAAATGTTTGCTGTTTTACCCTACAGAGCGATTTCCTTTTTAACAGAACAGTTTGGGCTTAGCAAATAGCAACTTACCTTTCCCATAAGCCAATGCTTCTGTAGCGGCAAGAGCTGTTAGAATTGTAGGGAAAAGTTCCAGGGATCTCCCACTATTCATCTCACCTACTTTGATGGCATCCACATATAGAGACGCTAACGTGGCTAATGCGTGACCAGGTAGACTGTGTGTCTATGGCACAGAAGAAGAGCATATTACAAAGGTACAGTATTAACACCAAGTTCAACTCGTCCAAATCAGGTTTTTGGACTTGAACCAAAGATTCATTAACTACAAATAATAAACCATTTAGAAAACACACTTAATTACAGGTTCCGTCCTCCAGATCAACCCATGATTCGAACCTACTGGTTACCAGCCAAGATGATAACCAGTGCATTGCTATTAATTTGTATACGGTATGGTAAGCAACTCACCTCTAACATCAGAAGTCCAATGATATCTGATGCCACTTCCGTCTGCAGGTCTCCAGATTCACACAGTGGAATACAGTGCTTGTACACAAGCAGTCTGCGGTTAGCGCCATGCGAAACACTTACCGGTGAACCTAACATCACAAACACAAAAACACAAGTTTGATGTTCAGCTCTGCTTGATGAGGCAGCACAGAGTTAGTACAGATTAAACACATACAAATGAAATAGACTTAAAACATGCTACCTTTAAATATGGCTTTGATCAGGATGCCTGTGTCCTTCCCTTTCAGAGCACTATTAGTAAGCATGGTTGTGAGCTTTAGAAAGATACAAAAAGCACATTTAAAAGTGCATATATCTGCATAGAATTTAAAAATGCTACCTTGTACATGACATTTCAGACTATTTGCATATCAGTACACACATTAAACACAAACCTGATCATCAGACAGCAAAGCGAGATGCTTTTGTAGCTCATCTACACCATCACTCTCCGATAATGATAGGATTTTATCCACCGTAACCTTCATATTAGACATCTACGCACACTGACCTGTCCTCTCACTACATCTAAAACAGTGTGTCCACTGTCCACAGAGAAGGGTTCAATCATTCATATGCAAAAAAATGGATAAAAATGTTTTTTTAATGATGAAAAAGAGCTTGTTCAAGAATGAATCTATTTGGTAAAATCATGTAATACTGCGGCGGATTTAGAAGAAATCGGAAGAAATAGAAGCAGGCAGAACTACCCTTTTAACAGTCAAATGGGACTGTTTTCTCTGTTTTCTTAGTGGCAACAGGTGAAGTCAAAATATTGAATGAGTACAAACATTTGGGCGATTTCTATAATTTACTGTTTATATTTTACTAAGGAGTGGATTATGGATTTTCTTGACATATAGGTGAGTTGATATTAGATGGAATGGAGCTCTCCATTCATTTACAAATTATTTTATTTATCATAGTCTGTATCTGACACTGTTTGATGTAGCTATAAGTTCCTACTGTATACTGACACATGCTGCTGAGTTAAGAATCGGAAATATGATTATGTGTCGTTGATTGTCAGTTATGAGAGCAGTTATGTGATTATATGTGGCAATATTGTAATATTGTATTGTTGCAATATTTATTTACTTTGATTAAATTACTCAAGCATTGACAAAGCATATATTTGGTATTGTATGGTATAGGCCTATAGTATAATATTATATACAAGTACATAAGGTTTAGCTTTTTAGGCTAGGACTTTCAAAGCCTTCCCAGTAAACTTGGTGGTTAAAATTTGGACACATGGTCTTGGGATATGCATAGCATCTTGACTCCCATAAAGTATCTGGAAATGCACATTTACAGTAGAGGTCTACAGTTGCTTTGCTTTTACATTTTTTTCTCTTAGTTTTTTCTTTGACTGGTGGACACAAAAGCCATTTCTAAGCACAGTTGAGTATGAGACTACAACTTAATTGTCAAATGTTTTTGAAAAAAAAATGGAATGCAATGAACTTTTTTTTGTTGCTGGTTAACTTCTTTATTGTGTTGAACATTCACTTATTTCATCAAAATTATACAGAACTTTCATTATACCAAAGAAAAGACCAACAATAGATAATTTAAACATGTAAGATCATATTTAAAGTGAAAACCCTAGCCCTAGAATAAAAGCATAAATTCCTTGCCGTGTTCCTTATTTCAAATATCCCTTGTCTTAAGTAATTTAGCTCACATCAACAATAATCAAAGGAAAAGCTTTAAGGTCAGCATCTTTTATCACGTCTTCAGGCCTATCAGTCTACACACTGTCTAGCAGTGCATGTGCAGCTGTCAATGTAAATATAGTCATGAACAACCTCGCTGTCATTGGCACACTTCAGCGTCACTTGTCGATGGCTGACTTTCTCCTCTTGGCAACAAGAACAGATGTGCATCATGCTGTTCTTTTCCATTGAATACCTGGAGATGAACAGTCTTGTTAGCTTTTTTGTAAAGCAAAATAGCACTGTATTATTAAAATGGAGGTGTGGCTGTGGAGGAAATGCTAATTTCTTTTAGCTGATTTTGTAATTATGAGTTATCCGATATGGTAAAGTTAATGAAAAATCTCAGATTATTCTGCTGTGATGATTTTTGAATTTTTGAATTTTGAATGTTAAATAATGCATTCTGATGAATAAGAGTAAAATATTAAAAAGAAATGAAATTTACTATAACCATACCAGCTAGTCACATGGAAGTTTTGCTGTAGCAATCGGTTCAAATGTGATTGTTGTTAGTCATGTGAAATTATTAAATAATCAAGGCTGTACACAATTTTCATTTTCTATTATATGTGCAAGTGCTTTTACATTGATTGGGTGCCACAGTGACCACTGCAGGACGTCACTTCTATGGGGTGGATGGACTTGCAGTCATTTACATCCACATGGGTTGTGTTCTTCAAAACAATGCAAGTCTTGGGCTCACCTAAGATATTTGAGAGAAAAGTAAACTTTTGACTCGAGAATTGTACATATGATGCATTGTTTTATGTATTACATAATCTTCCTTAATCTTTAGTTGAGGGAGGTGATGACAAAATAATTAATTTGTCAAACATTATTGGTCAATCATTTTGAGCGAATGAATGGACAATAATTAAAGAGTTTCTTACAGATCTTGCAACATCCATCTGCATCATATCTCTCAGTTCCCTATATGTAAACAGTCATACATTTCAACATTAGTAGAAAAAGTAACCAAACCATACAACAGTCAAGTTGTTGAAGCAAATCAATTATTGGTGATGTAATGTTTGTGAATAAAGCATACCAAATATATAAAGTATATATATATTTGACTTACAGGCTCACAATCATCTGGATTGAAGTCAGGGCATTTTGGTGTGATCTTCTCTGTCACAAACAAGCCATTCATTTCACTGCAGGAAATATTCTCACAATTGTAATGTTTCACTTCTCCAACCTAAAAGAAAAAAGGAAACATGCTTCATGAGGACTGAAGAACAGAGAAGGTTTGTTGACTGGTGAAATAGATGGACATAGAAAAGTTTGTGAATGTTTTAATATATACCTGGAGAGTATGTGTGGTGTTGTCCGGTGCAGTATAAATGCAGCTGATTTGCTTGCATGTTCCACAGCACTCTCCTTCTTGTTCTACACGCTCAAAGCCCTTGGAAAATCAAAAGAGTACTAGATTGTAGTAAATTCATCAAATTGAACTTGATCTTTTGAGACACTTGATGTACAGACTGTAACTACCAGAACTCAAAACTTCCTCCTCAGTCCCAAAGGGCTTTACTAGAAGTTCAGGCAAGTTCAGAATTTATAATATAAATCTATCCTAATGTTTCATATTATAATAATAAGCATCAATTGTAATTATTACCTCAGCACAAGGTGAACAGACTTTATTTACACATGCCACAGAATGTAGTTGGGTCTGTGGGTCTTTATCCATTTGGCAGTAACACTCCAAACAAGGCTCCGTAGGGATTTTAACTCCAGGCTAAAAAGTGAAAGTGAACCCATCATTATAGAAAAGTTTATGGATTTAGATAAAGATTACACATTCTTCTGGATTCCTTTTTTAACAGTGAAAAGCATATAATGTAATGTGATATAAATATGATATTTTTGACATTTCCTGTTTGTTAATGTTACAGTTAGCATGAACATATGAACCCAGCAGCTCACCTGGTACTCAGTGTTATTGTGCACACATACATCTTTGGGCACTGAATACAAAAAAAATACAGTCAGAAATTGTTTAGAAAGTTAAAGAGCTTTAATGTAATTAATTAGCAACTGTTGTAGTAGTATACTTTGAAGTTTAATAGTAGTTGTCTGGGTATGAAATTAGAGACTTACCACATGGTGGACAGCAACTGTCCTCAGGTATCTCTGCTGCTAACTCATATCCCACATCACATTTCATAGAACACTGGCTGGTATCACACACTGAATAGGCAGAGGAGGCATTATGTAAGCATTATGTAAATTATTCTGAAATGTTTTATTGGATTTTACACGTTTACAGCTGGTTCTAATTCGATGTGGTTACACATTCAGATAAAATGTGCTTTGAAACCTTTATTTCACACAGTCTGAATGTCTACTTTGGGGAAGTTTCCTACAGATATTCAACTAGATTTCCCCCCCCCATCCAAAATTGGATGATGAAATTCTATAATGAAATGAAGCCTGGAATTTTGGAAGAGGACTTTGGAGAACTACACTGCTTCTGACACTGGCACCCACTTTCAAGAAAACATTTTTAACTGGACATGGAGATTGAATATGAAGTTCACAGTATGATTTTCAAATCTATTCCTTTACATTAACATTACGCTGCATTAATTTACTATTAAGATTTTAGAAAATAATTAGCTATTGATCAGAATTTTTCCCTGTATTTGTGGCCTAAATGATATTTCAGGAAAGTTGAGTTGAAGGTTGTGTTGTAATCTGAAAACCTTTAATTGATAAATCATGCACAGTTAGATCAGAAATTTGTACTAGGACAGTAAATGAGGTCAGTTTTGTTATCATGTTTATTTAATTTAGTCTGTTTAGCTCTCTGATTGTCATTGTACTTGATTACTCACCACAGGTTGGACAGCAGTTTTCAATGATGCTTTTGTATTCGTGGCCACAGGGCTCTATGGTTGGACAATTCATAGGCTCTTGAACAACACCAAAGCTCTCAGTGGAGCATTTGTATGTTGTGCAGTTCACGATCCATGTATCTCCTGGCTATAGCAGAGGAAGTAAGGTAAAGATATGGGTATAATATGGGGTAGAATGTATTCAAATGCAGTTTTTACTTTGACTGAATGAGTAAATTATCTGTATACAGCCATTTTTTTTGCAGTAGTGTAATGGTTAAGCTCTGCTTTTTACACATGTGTAAGGGGGTAGGGGCAGGACTAGAGTTAAAGGCACAATATGCAATTTTCGTGGCTAGAGGGCACGTATTCAAAATAAACAAATAGACAAAGGCGTAGTTTGATGACGCCGTGACTGAGTGTGGAATCATGGGAGTTGTTGTCTTCATCCCCACAGCCGATGCAATCCGACGGGACTCGGGTAGAAATCATGTTCATGGATGAGCTAATGATTTATTAACGTAGTAAAATGAAGCAGGGTGAGACTGAAAGTCGTCGAAGCGAAACGAGGCCGCTGAACGAGCGTGATACATGGCTCGAAGCAGCGGACCTTTTATTATGCCACAGTCGACCGCTTCCGCTCCTTCCGGTCGTGCGTATGTGGGGGGGGGGGGGGGAGGGGCT